TTGTTAAACTTATGTAGAAATACTAAACGAAGACAGTTTTCTCAACAAACAAAGTCAGTAAAAATACTACCAAACAGTTTTATTAAGCTTAATGAGCAAAACAATAAGACAGCCTTAAGTCGTTAGCTGGTTGTTGCCAATTAGAATGCGCTGCAATTGAATTATCAATCACAACAATAATGGCTCTACAAATTCCCCGTTGAGTACATCGGCGCGGGTGAAATCGGTGATGGCGGGGGTGATGCGACATCAGGCGTCGTCCCATGGAAGCAGCTCGGAGGCGTCCCAGGGCTCGACCTACACGACGGTCCCGATGGAGCAACCGGGACGTGTTTCGGTAACATGCTCTCATACTCGAGGGACACTAGACGTTTACTTCTTGCGGCAGCAATAGGCCTACTTGAGAGACATCCGCCAGTTGCAAGCAGCATGAGGAGGAAGACCATTTGCATGCAAACCACTTTTTGGTTTTGTGGACACATTATATTAGCTATTGTTTATGTGATTTGGCTTTGAATTTCAAATGGTGTTTTCCTTTTTTTGGAATGTTTTTGTAATTGGGAACGTGTGGTACGGTAGTACTTATACTAGTATATTTTAGGAGTAGTTAGTAGTGGTAGTTGGTCAGCTATGTCTTTGGGCAATAATAATTGTGGTCAAAGGAGACAGTAATTTGTTACAGTCATTGAGATTAATTACCTATCCCTATTTTGACTATGAGGGTGATGATGATGGGAGATTGGCTGATTGGGGTTGGCAGCTGAGCGCCATGGTACGTTTCCATTGGTTAGTCATACATAGAACATCAACCATGGAAAAAGTCAAATCTAACATGAGTTTCTTAATATAAGAGTTTCTAATATTAACGTTTGATCTAAAAATATAGACTTATAAAACTTATAATAAACTAGCATTTCAATCATATATATTAAAATGAAGATTCAAAAATATTTTGGTATTACAAGTTAATAAGGTTATTGACTAATTAATGATCAAAGTTCACAAAGTTTGACTCAAAAAGTCAAATTGAAAACATAATTGTAGGACGGAGGTTGTTAATAGATAGTATTAAAGTTAAAATGGAAAATTATCAAAGTTGTCACAAGAAAATTCTAGCTTAACCCTAAATGACATGAAGATCTTTTAAAATTTATTAAAATTAAAGGCCGGTCAAAAAATTGAGAGTAATACTCTTTAACTCTTTTAAGGCAAATTCTATAGTACAATTAGATTTTTTTAGAGTAATACTCTTTAACTCTTAATTTTTTAGAGTAATACTCTTTTAGCAGCATTCACCCTCTTCTAGATGTGGAGTTTTGAAGAAAAAAAAAGTCAACATACTACATTACTATCCTTATTTTAAATCAACATATAATTGTTTTCCAACGTCTACATATATCAATGAGAGTGCGCGCGCGTGTGCGTACAGGAGGCTTTTCCAGTTTGCAATCTTTTTCTTAGATATCTAATAAAATCCATAGATGTATGTATTGATTGATTTTTGTTTAAAGTTAAGATATGCCTCCTCATAATATATAATAGTGTAAACATAACACTATCTAATTGCCAAAGTTCTCAATAAGTGTATTATATAATTTATATGTGTGAATTTACAATGGACATTTGGAAATAAAGATAGTAATAAGAATTAAGAATGTAAGAGTTAGTGATGGTTTAATATAGAGATTCTTCCACTATGAAAAATCATACCCGTGGCTTTATGGTGAGGTGTTCTTTAAATATTTAGGAATAAATTTATAAAGAATTAAAAAATGATGAAGGTTTAAAATGGTCATAATTGCCTTTAAAAAAAGGGGAAATAATTAAAATATCCCAAACTTTGAAGGGGTGTGAGATGAACACCCCAAACTTTCATATGTAATTTAATTACCTCAAACTTTATATAAAAAGTTATTTTAGCACCATAGTCAAGTATTATTTTTTTCAAAAATGTAAATTTATGGTGTTAATTGAGTAATTTAAAATATTTTAAAATTAATGAAGACACAATTAACATTCTAAACTTGCATTGAGAAATAAATAATATTAATCCAAATCTATATAATTGCAACACTTTTAATTTTCTATTTTAAATTATGCAATTAACCCCATAAATTTCTATTTTTGCAAGAAATAATACATGAAAATGGTGCAAAAATAATTTTTTATATATAGTTTGGGGTATTTAAATTACCTACTCAGGTTTGAGGTGTTTACCTCACAACCCTTCAAAGTTTGGGGTATTTTTATTATTTTTCCCTTAAAAAACGGTCATAATTGGAGTTTGAATTTCTATTTAAAAGCATTTAGTTCAATCGAGAAAAGGGTAGTTAGAAAACAAAGTTGAAGACTAAATGACATAAACAGCAATTATTATATAAAATCACATAATTAAACATATACATATATGATTTGACTCTCATAAAATTATAATGCTTATAAATTATTTCCGATATGCTCCGCATTGAAAATTCATTTCTTACTCCGTAAAACTTTACTTTTCTGATATAAAATGTGATAAATTATGAACGGTTATATTATGAGCCTCAACTTCACATCCAAAGCAAGGCTTCCCAACTTAAAAAAAAAACAAAAAAAAGAAGAAGTAGACTTACAAAAATGTATCTACAAAATTAACTCTTTCACTCAGGGCTTGAAATTAAAATTAACTTTTTTAATTGTTTGCAATCAATTAAAAAAAGTGATTTTGGCTTTTTTTTAAGAAAAAAGCACTTATTTTACCAAATACTATCAACTTTTACTTCCTCGGCTTTCGTGTAGAATCTACTTTTTACTTTTTCTATTACACAAAAAGCACTTATTTTACCAAACACTACCAACTTTTACTACTAATCACTTTTTCCCAAAAAGTGCTTTTATTTAAGCACAAGTGGTTGCAAACAGAGCCTCACTCTATGAAGTTATGTCCTGTTTTGGTTCCCTATGAATGAAGGCTTTTGATGGGGCCTGAAGGTCCAATTTCAAGGTCTCGTTTAACCAAAAAAAAAACAGCAGATTTAGAGCCGTCAAAACGGGCCGAAACCCGCGGGTTGGCCCGTTTCAACCCACTTATAAGTGGGTTAGGGCTATCATTTTCAAGCCCGATTGTTTTGCGGGCTCAGTGGGTCAACCCTAACGGGTTGCGGGTTTAGCGGGCCAACCCGTACGGGTTGCGGGCAAACCCGCGGGCTGAGGACAAATATTATTTATTCTATGTATTTTTAATTCTATTATGAGAAAATAACTTTAAATAATACCAACTATATTCGATAAATCAATAATAATACGTACTTTAGAAATAACTTTTAATAATACCAACTATCTGGATGTGAACCAAAAATAAAATAGAGACACTTTTCTACAAGAAATTCAATCATTTAAGACATCAAAAACTAAGATCAAATCATCAAATAATTGATATTTGAAAATATGATCACTTATTTGATATTTTGATATTATTTTTTGATGAATTGAATAAATGGATTTTTGGTGAAAATTTGCTATATATCACTTTTGATAGATAATCAAATAGTTGGTATTATTAAAAATTATTTCTCAAGTTTGTATTATTCTTGGTTCATGGAAGATAATTGGTATTATTTAAAGTTATTTTCTCTTCTATTATTTCTATATAGGACAATTATATCTTCTATTATACTCTCTTTACTTCTAGTTCTTTCCTCACTTTTAATACTAATGTATTTTGTTCATGATATTCAAATCAGACTAAATAATTTATTTTTAATGTATTTGTTGCTATACTCTTTTATAACATAAGGACTTCTATGCTGTTTTATTCATGATATCCAAATCAGACTAAATAAATGAGAAATTAGGTATTTGCGGTATTTCAGCTTAACTATACCCACGATAATACATTAAAGCTTTTAAGTATTTAATCATTTAACTTTTTAAGTATACCAGTTACCCACGATGATACATTCAAACATACAACCAAAGGATTTTCAAGCACTAATTTTTTCCTTTTTAATTGTGTTTGGATTTTAATTTAGATATTTAATTGCTATTTCAATTGTGTTGGGATTTTAATTTAGATATTTAATTGTTTTTTTTTTGTTTTGACATTTATGGCCCGCGGGCTGGCCCGCATAACCCGTGGGTTAGGTGGGTCGGGTTAGGGTCATAAAAATTCTGACCCGATAGTAAGCGGGTTGGCCCGCCCCGACCCGTGAAACTCATAACCCGCCGCGGGTCGGGGCGGGTTGGGACGGGTTGGCCCGTTTGACAGCTCTAAGCAGATTGTGACTCCGCTGTGCATTTAATTGATGAAATTGAACCAATTGGAAATAACCCGAATCACAGTTTGCTGAATTTGCTTGGAACGAAAACTTTGAAAGAACAATCACACAAACATTGTGGGCTTCATGCATTGAAACGCAATTTTGTAGGATTGTTTGTTCCTAGATGTGAGAGATTCGCAAGACTCCATCTATTGTTGATTTTACAGAAAATATTGGCAAGCTAGGATAATTTAATAACGCATTGCAATTAGTAAGTCGGGGAGCAGATGATGATCTACAACTAAGAAGCTATCGTTTGGTAAAGTGGTACACCGCTCATGTAGTTCCTGGTATAAATTGCCAAAAAGGCTGGTGCTAGGGGTGTGTACGGTGTACCCAGTTATGGTTCATGACCCCGGGTTTGACCAGGAGACCGAACTAGCTTTCTGGTTCCATACCATATCTGGTACCGAGAAACAAGTCCAAGCCACTTTCTAGTTACAATCAGACCACTTCCAGTTTTTTTAGGCTAAGAAACCAGTCGTAACCAATCTAAGAACCAGACCGGGTAGACATTGTTATGGTTCGGTTTTACCCTTTACGTGACCAGGAATCGGAACTGGGCTGTAACCAGAATGGTGTCCAGCCCTAGCTGATGTTAAGTGTTGACCATTGCACAAGTTCCATGTTAGTTTTTAGGATGAAATTTTGCAGAATTTTATCATGGGCGAATTTGCGCAAATATCTATGATGGTTTAGTACCAGGTGAAACACTTCATCGGAATGATGAAGTTCTGTCATTCAATCTGCCGGGTACAATTAAAGGTTCTTCACCTAGCATCATCTACCAGGTGTATGCACTTATTATTGTCCATCTAACATCATCATCTATGTAAATGATTCATTTTCCACCTACTGCCTGCTTCAAAATCTCTACAGCATTAACATTTCTGTGATCAGATCGTCAACAATTGATTTTTCAACATCCTTACCAATTAAGTTGATGTCAACTCTAACATCCAACCAACACATTTCCCGATCCAGAATCCGCTCAGATGTATCACTGTTTGACAAACTAGCCTGGTCCGCAAGCAAGCGAGGCAAAGCATCGGCGACTTTGGGTTGTCTCTTGCAACCCAAATCATCAACAACGCTTCTCTGCTGCAACCAAGGGCAGGGGTCTACATACTGCTGGAGAATCTCCAAAAGAGCCAGATTCAATCGGTCAAATAAGAGTCTCCTGTCATGCCTTGATATAACAACAGATGTCCCCCCTTCTTTGAGGCTGTACTTTTTCTCCATATTCTCAAAAGTGGAGGGGCTGAGAGGGAAGTCTAGAGAGTGGGAAGTTGCAATCAAGGCATCAGGTTCTGACTCCTTAAAACCAGAATCCATCAGCACATCACTTATGTAGGAAGTTTCCCAGCTGCTTGGGGACAACTCCGTGCATTTCTCCTCTTCAACAATTAACATTTCAGGTTGTGGAAAATCATTAAAGTAATCTGCAGCCGCATCTGCATCACAATATGGGGACTTCTTTTTCAGTTGCTGAATTTTCATGCGTAGATCTAGCAAGAATAGAACAAGAAGAAATTAGAACTGCAAAGTGATATCATTCCCGCCTAGGGACTAGTATGAATTGAAATTTTGGGGGTCACTAGCATTCCATGAATGCAGTGATGAAATTTACATGGCAGATGACACAAGTAAGCAATGATTTGCACTTATATGCAGGAGAATAAAAAAAGAACATTTTTTGCATGATGGTTTGCCAAAAAAAATGAGAGCCTGATGAACTCGCATCAATGATAGTATGGTTTTTACTCTGCATAAAATCCCCTATAAACATGAAACTGTCACTGTTCACTTAAACATGTAACACACATGATTTCGCCTAAAGCAGTGAATGAAGGAAGGGCTTTCACTTCGGAATAGTTCATAAGAGCAATCCCATATGGCCATATATTGGTGTTCTCCGAATAAGTCCACAAATGCATAGTTCCAGTATAATCACAGTAGCAGGGGGGGTACTTCTCAAAATGAACCTGAGTGACCAGTAACTTGGTAAACAATTTAAAACACCAAGTGAAAAAGACATCACACAATGTGCCATGTGGCCTAAGGACCTGCTGAATTGATTTGGTTTATGTAGGTCACCAGTTAATTTTGGGAAGATACCCATTAATTGAGGTTATATGAGAATTGTGCATTTGTTTTAGCTTTAACTTCTAAATCTCTACATAATATTTTTAATTCAAATCTCAGACTATTATTACTGGAACTTTTTATGTGTGGGTGTGGGTGTGGGTGTGTTTTATACACACATGTAATGTTGTATCTTTTTCGTAGGGTGTCTTCATGAAACTACATAAAGTGTAACTGTATAAGCAACTTCCAAGCTTTCTGAAACCTGCTTTTACAATAGAAATGAAAATATGTTTTTATTTTAGCACGTAATGTAGCATGAAATCTCAAAGCGCATCTATAACTTCGCATTTGGCATTTTTAGATATAGTATGAAACTCTGCAAATCCCTAATTACCATTTATTTTGGCACTGACTGTCTCTAAGGATTCAGAACCAGAGAGGGAATCCTCAGTAAAAGTGAGCCCCTCCAGAACTGAAACAGGACTAGGATGGCCATCCCTGGAGCTTTCTGATGATTCTGATTCAGGTAGATGACATTGCGAAGGTACTGTGAGTAGGACTGAACTTTCCTGAAAATCCAGAAAATGTTCAGAGAAAAATGGGTCATATAGCATAAACTAACAGATTACTTAGAGAGGTAACCTTTAAATCAAATTAATATCTAAATTGATTACAAGTTCTTGTGTACTCGTTGATATTAGTTTAACTATGGTAAGTCTAAGGATCTTGTTCTAACAGACTAAATCCTTACTGGCCTAGACAAGATAAATCACATAAATGAGTGGTAATAAATGTTATGCACATTGACATCTGATCATATTATTGCAGTCAATTACAATTTATTAACTGCAATTCTTGGACATGTCAATTGCAATTTATTGCTCGAGTTACATGATGTAGTATACCCCTCCGTCCCTTATAACTTTGCCAAAATTGACTGGCACGTAGAATAATAAAGTAAAAACTGTGTGATTGAGATTTGGGTAGAGGAGAGAAACTAAATAGGAACCACAAATTCTTTATTTAAAAGGGAAAGTGGCAAAGTTAGGATGTTTTTAATTGGACTTATTTCAGTCCCAAACCAGACCAGACTTTAACATACCAGGCCAGACCAAATTTTGACAGTTATAAAATACATAGAGACCAAACATCTACTAGACCAGACCAGTTTAGACCAAAAAATTTCAGTTGAATCAGTTCAAGTAAAAACATCCTTCGTGGGACAACCAAAAAGGAAAGTTGACAAAGTTATAAGGGACGGACGGAGTATATATACATACCAGGCAAAAAAAAAAGGAAATAGGAAAACACACATTCATTTTTGCTGGAATATGTTGCAAAGGGATATGTTTGCTGGAATACACATTTATTTTTCATTCTTCTAGTTTGCTGGAATACACCATCATTAGAAAAAGGAAAACTTTTTTCAAAGTTATAAGTCATAAAGAAGCAGCAGTGATGCCAACCACAGCTACCAGTTCACCATCTTCACCATTACAGGCCGTGAAAACAACAATCATGGTTGGAACCATAGCCACTGTCATCATTGTTCACTCTAGCCACGCAGGAAACATTCTCCACCCTTGCCACTTATATTTAAGTATTCAACCACACCAACACCTAAGTATCCCCCAATTAGTCACATGCGACCACTACAAATATTGGTAATGTTGTCCACCGCCACAATCGTCCACCTCTACCACAGCCACCATTGTCATTGCGTGCAACCTTTGCCACCATCATCACCCATTGTGACCGCCATGATTGTTATTGACCACCATCACCTACCGTTGACTCGTGGACCACCGCCATCAACTTACGCTTCCACACCGATGGTTGACTTCCACTACTGACAACCATTGTCTCCATCGACCAACACCACCACCGCCTACAATCCCTAATGACAATCTTTACCAGTTACCACTAACAACCACCAATTCACCATCACTGATGGCAGAGTTGACAATTGTTGCCCCACTACCAACGGTTACCTCCATAAAAAATCGCCACTACAACTACCACCCATGCGGACACCGACTACTGTCATTGTCAGTAACCAACATCACCAACCACTTTCACCATTGACAATCATCGCCACTATCGGAAACCATCAATGCCGCCGCTGACAACCATTTTCAGGGAATACTGCCACAACTAGGGACCTCAGCATCATCTTTGGAAATGTGTTTTTCAAAACTAGCAACCTTGGCACCACCTTCGTTACTTTGAATGTGTTTCCAAAAAAGAAAACAGAAATGGTGGGAAACAGGGAATACAAAATTTAGAGAACATATAATAGAAGTAAACAATCTCCGTGTGCTCTTGGGTCCTCAAAAAAGCAACTTGTTGTTGCATTATCAGCATGTAATGCAGCATACATTGAAGCTTCAGTGCTTCACCAAACATTATTGAGCCAGGTTGAGTTAGGAAAATAGTAAGCCAACTTGATTTCCCAAAACAGGGTCCATTCAAATTTTATGTCGACAGTGCCTCATATACAAATTTGGCTAAAAATCATGTGTTTCGTCGGAGGAGCAAGCTCATAGATACGCGATATCTTTTCCTGAGGAGTCGTTATAACCATGATGTGATCAAATTAAAGTGCAGCAAGACTGAAGACCAAGCAATGGATATGTTGATAAACCCTTGAAGTTTGATACATTCATCAAGCTAAGAAACTTGCTTCGAGTGAAGATCCTCCCATATCAGATTTAAGAAGAGATGTTGAGTTGTTGACCAGATTATATATTTACTAATGGGGTTTTTCCTTAAATATGACTAAATTGAAGCTTATTCCTAAACAAAAGTGACTACTTTTACATATAGACAAAAAGGTGACTGACAAGGTAATATATTTGGTAAAACATGTCACTGTCAGATTTTTATGGCACTACCAGATTCTTACATCATTGACGGATGCCAGTGTCGCCACCACAGATGTCAGATTGTCAGTGCCACCATAAACATGTCACTGTGACCGCCGGAAACATTCCCGATGCCTTTTTTGGGCAAATTTAATAAAAACGAAAAAAGCAAAAAAAAAAATCAAAGTTTTCCGGCGGTTTCTGGAAGAGGCTGGGCAGGTGTGGGCTGGGACAGAGATTGGATATAAATTACAATAAGAATTTTTTTAATCAATTAAACAAAAGGTTAGTAATATTTTGGGGAATAAGGAAAACTAATCACTTTTTTGTATTTCACAAAGCTATAGGTAATATTTGTGTTATTTTTACTCTGATTTCAGTATTTTAATAGCTAGTTGTGAATTATATTCTTGTCTTGTTAGTTGTTGTCCTACTTAATAGAGTTGTTAGAGTTATGATCCTTGATCCTAGTTAGCTAGCTTAATCTGCTATTTTAGCCTTTGAATGCTGCTTTGATCTCCTATTTAAAGGCAACCTGACAGAGCCGTGAAAAGATGTGAGCTAGTGGAAGATAAGTCATCTCTTCAAATAGCAATTTTCACATCCTGCATAACACAGTTGATCTTCTTTTTTTATGCTCAGTCCCAAAACCTTGTTCCAATTACTTTTCCAACACACCTCACAACTGAAAATTAAAATTCAATTTCTACGACTACTCTAATAGTGGCCAGCTAACCTCCTACTTTTTTTTCAAGTGTCGGAACCTGACATAACATGTAAGCAGCTAAGCATGTAAAGTGTTAAATGACTGGTCCAGCGACCCATACATGAAATTAGTAGGTATCATGCATTATAAGGGCTCTCATCACTATTTTTTAGTCAAAGGTGAAGTATATATTCAACCACCATAAACTAAATAAAAGTACAACAAAAAATAATATCAAAGGATTTGTTTCAAAAGAATGGAAAATAAAACTCAATGCAGTCATGTGAGCCGTAAGGCATGCCAGAGTGATGTATACATTATAAATTTTAAGATCATTGAAATTGTGAATAGTTATACCTGTATATAAGATGCATCTTGGTCAGGAAATAAAGTCTCATTGCTTTCAAAAATTGACTTCTGAATTATGTCAAAAGAAGACTCAGAAACTTTAGCTTCACCGGTATGTGCAGTATGCATAGCTAAATCAACAACAGAAGTTGCACTCTTGCTGACTGTCATAGCTGAAGGCAAATGCAGCTTCTCCGACAGGTTGCACTCTGCATTTGAATTCATCATTTTGCAGAATATTGCTTCCTGGAAAGTATCTTTAGTACCAGTGCCTTTGCGGTGACCAGAACGTAGTTTCTTCCGGCCAGATCTTTTGTCACTAAATGAAACCTCCTCCACTTGACTTTGGCTTCCATCCCATGACTTATTTCTACTACGGTCCGTGGACCTTAAACCATTTGGACGCACTCTAAGCCTCAATTTTCGGCTATTTGGACCTACTTCTTGATGTGTACTCATTCCCTGAATTTGGCTACCAAGAGGAGAAAGTGATCTGGACTTAGAGGAAATGTACCCATCCTTCCAAGCATCCCTACTGCTTACACCTAAAGGATATTCCCAAGCATCGGTACACTTTTCTCCAATTTTTCCATCAAAGGTCTCCTCCATGGCATCTAAACGTTCAGACTCTGTTTCTATATTAGGTAAGGAAAGCATTTCACCGAGTGTACTTCCCCTGCTAGCTGTTTCCAAGTCCTGACAAGTTTGAGACATTTTCCACCTTTCAGATAACCTCTTCGTAGCCTCCTTGCTCACAGATGACTCAACTGTGCCAGTTAACAGAGATTTGCATCGGTTAGTTCTGCAATACAAATTCTCCAAACACGGTTTCAGCATGTCTAGTTCGTTGGAAGAATCACTTTCACACACACCACATGAACTCTCATCAGTGGCATAACCTATAATGTCAGAATATACCAAATTTGAATCTTTTCGCGCATCTGAAGGTCCATGACTATTTCTCATGCGCGTTGTAATCTGCTTGGCAATTTTTCTGGCTTCTTTTGAATAAAAACTTGGATCATGTGCATATTTACAAGAGTTATTTATTTCCGCTGACCCAGATTTCCCTGTTCCAAAGCTTAGACGCGTTCCAGGCTTCTTTTCTTCAGCGCGATATTGAGCAGAAGCAACATCACTGTGTGTCTTCCCACAGTTTGGCTTCAGAACCACAATTCTAGTTGGAAAAATGCTTTCACTTTTCCCTTTAACGTGAATCTTAGGCGACTTGAAAGAACTGTGACCTCCATGTGGATGCTGCAAATGGAGCAAGTGAGCATTATCTCTTCTCCTTGGTAACTTCATATCATGATGGCCTGAACCACATCTCCCTGGTTTTCCAAGTATTGAAGTGCCTTGGCTATTTGCAGAAGTTGCTGGTTTCAGAATAGCTATGCGACTATACATAGAACTAGAAGTGTCAATTTGAATATCAAGAAAATGCTTTGAATTCTGAAGCTTCTCATCAGCAGAGAGGTGTGCGGCTTCTAAATATTTATGCTGATATTGCTGAATGACTGCCATCTCAGGCATGTTCGTGTTATGTTCTGGCTTTGTATTCCATCTTGATGAATAGCGCCGAGTAGAAATATAAGAAGCTTCCAAATCCTCATTCAGATCATTGACCTGATGATGTTCCGTATAGTTCCTTCTACGTGCTTGGTCCACAAACATCTGCATAGTCCTTGGGGCCTCTCTTTGTTCTTTCCTCTGTCTGAAACTATCTGGGGGCCTCCTTTGCTCTCTAGTAAATTGTTGTGGAGAAGGTATATCATCAAGACCCATCAATCTGGCAATGACACTTGGTTCCTTTATTTTTGGTTCAACTTGAATCAACATCTCCTTTGCAATTAAACTCTTGACTGGCTTCGCTATAACTCTTTTAGAAGCACTCTCGCCCAACTCAATCATGAACTGCAGATTCCATGGGATTAAAAATACAAAAGTAAGAAACATAAACTAAATACCACAGGTATTTGTTTTCATTGGCTAAATAAGCTTTGAGTCGGTTGATTTGCAGACCATATCTTCATTAGCAGTTGAATCATAACGACAGACGGAATTATGAGTGGGTTTTGGAGCTGTGATCTTTTCTTGGGCCTTTATGCTTCCTGGTACAAATTAATCACAATACGATTAGCATCACTTCATAACGGTTTAATAAATGCACAAAAGATACAACAGTTGATTCCACCAAAACTTTGCGCATGTTCAAATTCATCAAAAAAATGATGCAGAACAAAAAGCTTTTTTGCACCATAACTCAAAGTGTACACATATGCTCATCACAAATGCTCTACTTATCTCATTGTTTCAATTAAAACAAACAAAAAAGTGCAATTTGCACAGAGCAATGCAAGAACAAGAGAATTTTAAAACATTAGGGAAACAGGAAAGCACAATTATGAGGAACTATCAAAATTTGTCATGAATGACCAGGGTTTTGTTTCAAAGGAAGCAAAGCTGGTACCACATCCACCAGTACATTATCAGTCGCTGATCATAAATCACCTAAACAAACTACAGTTACAAAAGCACTCAATCTTCGATTCCCCTTTGGAAGATTACAGCTGTGCAGAAACAACTAACTTGTAATTAAGAACGCCTCAGTTGTAATTAAAGTGTAAATATTATAAAGGTTGTCGCTAGACAAAAATTACAGTTGTTCACAAACTGCCTGGGCCCACTTACACAGAAATGCAAGAAGAAAAATCTATAAACAAATGCAGCAGACATATGAGCACGCACAGAAACATTAAATGCGGGGAAATTCATTGAAAAATTAATTAAATCATAAGACAGAAAGACGTATTTAATATATATTCCACTTTTCATATTTCAATAATTCTCGTGGTTTGCTAGTCTGCTTAGGCTAATACTAGGAAGAATAAGTCCAACTCCTGAAATAAACACGGCGGTGCTAATTCCAGTAGACCACGACAGGTGATATTCAGAACAACAAATAGAATTTCCTCACTTAATTCACTTCTGTTTTCAATTTTCTCATTTACTAAACACGCATATTCCTTTTACAACCTCCACACTTATGCGTTCGTTTTTACCTTCAAAGGAAACTGAAGCTCGTTTGAATTTTCTGGGACGAGGAGGCTCCTCCATTTCAAAATTTCACTCACGAACGGCTGAGGAGAACAAAAATAAAAACAATACCTGAAAAGCTACATTAAAACTGAAACGGAAAAGGAAAGTTAAAATAGCAAAGAAATTTCGGAGAAGCAAAACCAGAGATGAGAGATCGGAAATCACGGACTAGCCTGCATTCACTTCTCACTTCTCAGCTCATCGATCCATCAATGAAGGACAATGCGACAAATGGAGAGAGAGGAATTTTATGAAGAAATAGAGAGTGGCTTAGAGAGAGGAAGTAGTTTGAAAACACAGAAATGTGAGGCGGGCATTAATGGAGGTATGAGTTTTCCGTGCAGAGAGGGAGGGGGGACAGAGAAAATGGCGTTATGTGTTATTTCTGGTTTGCTTGAAGGGAAGTTTCATTAAAGAAAACGTTTGAATTGGATTTCAAATAACACAACAAAAAATCGCATGCCATTATTGCTGTAAAGAGTACAGATAAAATATACGGCGGGGCCACAAATTATTAACCCCTTTTTTAAAGGTTTTTCATTTCTTTTTGTCTTCTCCACCTTTATTCATTTCTTATTCTAATGCCGTTTTATTTGCACGGAAATTCTAACAAGACCTATCACATTCAGCGATTTTAGAGAAAAACAAGCAAAGGGAGATACACTAATGTTTTTAATGAATTAAAGTTCGGATTAGACACTAAAGTTTTAAGTAGATCAAATAAACACAAAATTATAGTTTTTGGATCCATTTTGACTACCCTTTAACACTAAACCCTTCCCCGTCGTTAACTCCCCATCCGATTAAAGCTGGCTTGGATTCAGGAGAGCAGGCAACAATGGAGGTCGATCACCCTGCCTAGAAGATTACCTTCGCGTCACCGCCTCGTCGTCGCACCGCCTCGCTGTCGAAGTCGCCGATGTGTCGAAGCCTACCCATTACCCATCGCAGGCTTCACCTTCGCAGAATCGCGACATCGCCGAAGCTATAGCTTCTGTCGTTGTTTCATCCCTGCTTCGATGTTGAAGATCTAGATCAGAACATTATTTATATAAAATGTCCTAAGCGGGAGTTCACATTTTATATTCTCTAAATAGGACTAAACATTACTTTTGTACCCTTAATATAATCAATTCCCTCAACCCTACTAAACTATAGAATGTGGCGGCGGTCTGACGACAAGCGGCGGCGGCAACACTCTGACGACCGGCGATCGGCGGCGGTCCGATGACTAAGCTTCAACCCCTACAACGGTATTTTAGTCCAATCACAAATTATGACTCATGTTTATAGATTTTTAAACATTGACTCCTTTTACCCTTTGTGTATGTTTTAGTCCTGTTGTAACAATTTATTGCAATTTATTCTTCGTGATCAGTTTGCTTATTTTCTTATTGGTTACTTTTACATTGTAAAACTCTTGCAGATTGGGTGATGGGAGGCATGCTTTAATCATCGTTGGCTTATTTGTGCTCATTATAGGATCAGTGAGTTATATTGCTTGTTTGAACATGATTGGCTTTAAATTTAGTTCGAGGGCTGACGGTTGGTTGTCTGTGGTCCTTTTGTCGTTTTACTCCCTATCTGAATGCTAATGATGATGTGATAGCAATTTAAGTCCCCTTCTTCCAAACAAATAGACAGAAAGAATTTTACAATTGTTTTTAAAATTAGGCTCATTTTAATTATCCGCCCTACGCCTTCAAAAATACAGGACCAGCCCTTGTGGGCATCATACCTGAATTGAGGTGCGGCTACTATTCTTTGATTTGCGGGACTGATATTTGTCGTGTGATTTGTGAGATGTGTCATTTGCAATGTAATACCCTCAAAGTAGCACCATGTAATGGTGATAGTGAAGGCAACGGTGCGCCGCGACCTGGCAAATTAAGATATAGTAGCATGTTGTGCTCAACGTGTAAAGTTCTTATAAAGATAGCAACATGCCTCGTTCATGTCTAGATGTATTTATAGAGGTAATTCATTTCATGCTCAGGTCATATCCAGATGTCTAATAGCTAATATAATTAGGAATCTACCTAATAGATATTTAGGAATCTGCCTAATATCTATTTAGGAATACTTTGTATTTTGACAACTCTTCTATTATAAATATATCTGTCAGGACTCCTATTGGAGTACCTCTTTCCCATTATTTCACATGGTATCAAGAGCTTAGGTTTTTAGATACAGTTTTTTTTTCTTTTTTTTTCCGGTTCCCATGAACCCTAGTACAGCCGCCGCCGCCTCGGGGTCAACTGCCGTCACATCTACGGCAGTTTGCGATCCTTTGAGGATGAGCGCAGCTAATATGGCGCAGATCACCTCCTTCGCGTCGCTGAACACGGTGCTTTCTTCCAGCGTGCCGTTGAGTTCGCCGCCTGCTGCTGCCTATGTCCGCGCAGCACCCCACCTTCTCTGCGTCGCTGACCACGGTGCTTGCGTCAAGCGCGCTGTTGAGTTCGCCGCTTGCTGCTGCAGACATCTATTCTCATGGAGATCTTATTGTTAAAGATGTGCCTTCTAATCTTCCGCTGGCGGATATATTTACTAAGAAGTTTTTTTTTTGTTTGCAATTTCATTTTTTTAAAAGACAACCTGCGCGTTGTATCTCCCGCACAGTTTGAGGGGGTGTAATAGGCTAATATAATTAGGAATCTATCTAATAGATATTTAGGAATCTGCCTAATATCTATTTAGGAATACTTTGTATTTTGGCAACTCTTCTATTATAAATATATCTGTCAGGACTCCTATTGGAGTACCTCTTTCCCAAATATATCTGTCAGGACTCCTATTGGAGTAACTCTTTCCCATTATTTCACAATGTCCTCCTTATATCAACATCTATGTACGCACATGAATGTTTGTTAAATGTAATTATATTTGTATGAAAATCGATCATAATCTTGCCAATGCTAGGATTGCTAGCAACTGTCCAAGAGTGGAATCCCACTCCTTTTATTAGGTTTATTTATAGCTCTTTTTATGCTAGCTACCTCCCTTTATTAGGTTTATAGCACGTTTTTAGTTTTTATAGGTTCTTTTATTGTTTAAATTGTAAACTACTCCGTACTTCAATGTAGCACATCTATTTCATAAGGGTTAAAATGAAAAATACTAATAGATACTGTGAATTAGTTATAAAATTCAAATATGAATATAATGGATTTTTATAATGAAATGTCAACAATCAATTATAAACTCGTATTTCTTAAGTGATTATTAAATTATCAATCTATCATATATTATATATTTAGGATGTTTTTACTTGGACTGTAATTTGTCCCAGACCAGACCAGACCAGTTCAGACCAGACCAGACCAGACCAGACCAGACCAGACCAGACCAGCAAATTACAGTCCAAGTAAAAACATCCTTAGAGCCCTTTTAGAAACATCTATTGTCAGCTTACCAATAAGTTGTTTTGAGCTTAAATTCGGACTTATCTCTTTGTATTGTGATAATAGGTGATATATCTCTTCCGTATTAACTGGCCATGAAGAGTGAAGTTATTTAGGATGTTTTAAATTGGAATGAAATTTTGTGGTTTGGTTTGATCAGGGTTGGTCTGATGTGTTTAATTCTGGTCTTGTTTGGTCTTAACTGATCTGATCTAGTCTGAAAATGTCTAACCTTTGTGTATTTTATAACTGCTTAAATCTGATCTTGTATGCTTTGTTTTAATCTGGTCTGGTCTGTTTAAATCGATCTGATATGACCTAATTTGGGACGAGTCATATTTGTACGGTACATACATGTAATTTATTTATTAGCTATTTTTGTTGGTAAGATTTATTGGCTATTAATAAGCCATGAAGAGTCATATTCGAATTGGTCCGTACAAGTTAACTTAGCTATTAATTAGGCATGAAAAGTGGATGTATTTAAATTATTTAATGCTTCTTAGTTTTTTGTTAGCCCCGTAATACTCCCTCCGTTCTCTAATACTTGGCCCTCTTTCCATTTTGGGATGTTCTTTATTAGTTGTCTCTCTTTCCACTTTTGGTAAGTTTTTTCAATAAATATACCCATTTACCCTCATTCTCTTTCCTACTTTTTCATTCTCTTTCCTACTTTTTCCTTTACACACAACTCACTACACCTTTTATACTACCCCTATTAATTCCATCTTAAATCTTGTGCCAAAGCCTATACTCCCATCTATTAGAGAACGGAGGGAGTATTAAGTATGAATTAAAAGTGATGTTAATTTATGTTATAGTTCAAGGGAATTCTCCGGAAAACTATACAGTTTGATGCAGGAATTCAACAAGAAAAGAATTAAATTCGAACATCAAACACAGAGTATTACAGAGTAAGATGGGGAAGAAGGAATCTTTATTTCAAAGAAGGAAGATTTTTCAAAAAACCCCTATTACAACGCAGCTCCAGCTATTTATGCTAAATCATGCTACCGGACTCTAACGACTTCTAACTAACAGAATATTAGCTATATCAGCTAGGATCGATGACGTGGCAGGTGAATCCTAACAATCGTTCCCCCTCAATAATAGCTTGACCTCAAGCTAATGGTTTACTCTACAGAAAAATCGGGGTATCTTGCTACAAAGTCTTTATAAGGTTCCCAGGTAGCATCTTCTTTAGTACCATTTGCCCACTGAACCAGCCAGTAAACTGCAGCAGCATTCCCCTTCTTCACCATTTTCCTATCCAATATAGCTATAGGTTCATTTTTGAGCTGCAGTGATTCATCCATCATAGGCATGGAACTCACAATAGGTGTTGGGCCATGGTGTTTCTTTAAAAGAGATATGTGAAAGACAGGGTGTATTTTTGCTTGATCAGGTAGTTTTACCTTATAAGCCACCTTTCCTACCCTTGCGATCACTTCAAAGGGACCAAAGAACTTAGGAGCCAGTTTTTGATTACTTCTATAGCTCACTGATTGTTGTCTGTATGGCTGCAACTTCACATAGACATAATCTCCAATTTGGAATTCTTTATCAGTCCTATGCTTATCAGTCTGACTTCTCATCCTATTTTGAGCTCGTTGGATGTGAAATTTCAACATATCAATGCATTCCTCTCTGGCTCTTAAAGTTCTATCAACCAGCTCCACACTACTATCCCCTAGCACATAAGGAATATGTACACTCGGTGGTTGGCCATATACCACTTCATAAGGTGTCTTCTTTATAGTGGAGTGGTAATTAGTGTTGTACCACCATTCTGCCAATGGTATCCAACTGGCCCAATCCTTCGGTTTCTCTCCAGTCATGCATCTCAAATAGGTTTCTACACATTTATTAACAACCTCAGTCTGGCCATCTGTTTGAGGATGATAAGCTGTGGATGTTAATAGTTCAACATGCTGGAGTTTGAATAGTTCCTGCCAGAATTTGCTCAGAAAAATCTTATCCCTATCACTGACAATTGATTTA